GGAGAACCCACGAGTAATGCATCGTCCGTGAATCAAGGGAGAACTCAAGCGAGGGTCTACCAGATGATGGAGGCCGATGCTCGGGAAAACCTTGATTCTATATATATGCCAGCCGCCTTAGGGTCAAACTAGCCAAATTCAGATTGAAATGGGCTTATTTTTTCCCACGCACAGATCGGGACGGAAAAATATGTGGAAGAGAGCTGAACAACACAAAGGAGACAAAACTATGACCCACACATGTGTGGTTGCAATGAATTGGTAAATTATCTTCCCATATCATATCATTTCGACTCATGCAACCTATCCCAGCATGAAGAAAAGTCTGGGAGGTTGACTTTAGCTTGGGTACACGAGCATATTGTGTAGTAACTGTCCATAAACAAAAAGGACAACAAGAGAGGTCATTGTGGGCAGTTTTTGCACAACTTGTGTGAGGGATTGTCTCTCCTATCATTCAAGCTATACTCATCCAAATGGAATGAGTCGGATGTCCCTGGAGAGATTTTGATTACTTTTATCCTAGATTCATTTCTGGAGAAAAAGGGCTTTATACAAACGAAGAGGGAGGTAAAGGGAACTGTTGCGTACAACCTCACACAGTTGCAAGTGTTAGAATTTCGCACCCCATATCTTGAGAATCTCTTATCCAAATCATTTGGACGAGGTGTCACCTTGAGAAGGCCTTCTAACATCCATTTTTAAGCAAGGGATCAGTGTTAAATCGTCCTTAGCCAGAGTTTTGGGCATTGTATTGAAAGAGAGAAGTTCAGAGCTCATTTAAGGTGATGATCGTAACTTGTAGGTTAAGCATGAGATTACCTAACTGCTTAAATCATGAATTATTAAACCTAAAGATTGATAAAAATATGGATATATTTGGTTAGGAACGAATTTATCTATGATTTAAAATTAGACTAAAGGGTCAAATAGGCCCCTGAACGTATACGAATTGCTTAATTGGCACCCCAAACCCAAAAAAGCTCTGATCCAACCCACCAACCAAATTAAATACTTCAATCCCCTCATCCAACTGGTTACCTCCCGGTTGTCCCCCTTACGCCTGTGAACAGTACTGCGCACCAAGGGTTATCACCAAGAGTCACCGGAGCCGCCGTCATCGTTCGCACCGCCGTGAACCCTCCGGTAAGGCCTCCTGCACCAAGTGGTGCTCTCTGAAGCGCCCCAGGTCTCGCCGCTCCATTTCCGGAGAAACGCCGCCGACCGTAGCGATGCTCGTGGCTCGTCGTTGGCTCCTCCAGCCGCCGCCAGGCCGCCACACCGCCGTTCGTCATCAGCGGCCAACCACTGACCACTCATCCATCTGGTTCGATATCGTGGGAACCCCCACCGCTCTGCCGACGCAACTTGAGGTACCTGCCGGCTGAGAGCTCTCTGATTTCCGCCATTAATGGTAGCTTGGAGTTTTTGGGGAGGTATGTCCCGACCTTCCAGTTTCTGGTTGAAAGGGGGACAACCGGGAGGTAACCGGTTGGATGGGAGGATTGAAGTATTTAATTTGCTTGGTGGATTGGATCGGAGCTTTTTTGGGTTTGGGGTGCCAATTGAGCAATTCGTATACGTTCAGAGCCCTATTTGACCCTTTAGCCTTAAAGTTATAATGATAATATAGAGTGAATTGAACTATTAATGAACTATTATGTTGAAATACGCATTTCTAGCTAATGAATGGATAGTATGGATATATAAATGAATATTTATATATTTCAAATGATCATTGGTGTAGTTGTCACATACCTTTAAATAGGTTGGGACACACATACTATGAATATTTGATATGATAAGAACAATCTTAATAACATTAAGATACTAGCTTAAGATTGTTTATAAGTTTTGATAGAATTGATACTAAGGTTTGGATTGTGTAACTTGCACTTGAATATGTTTCAAATGGCTAAATTGATATGGTTTAAAGTTAAGATTAAGCTATGATCAGACTTCATGGATGACCCAAAGTTATTTACTTGATATGGTGATTCTAGGCATAGGACTTTCTTAAGAATTAGACAATGTTGTACTAGAATCGAGCTCTATGACTGTGTAATGATGTACTAGAGTCGAACTCTATGGTTGTGTTGGGATATACTAGAGCCTAGCTCTATGACTGTGTAGTAACAAACTAGAGTCGAGCTCTATGTTATTGTAACTAGTAGTCGTCGGGCGATGGGATGATTTGTTTCAAAATGAATATGGGCATATGGACCAACTAATTTACTTTATATAAGTAAGGATGTTTTCTTTTGGGCTAAAACTTTTTGGTCTAGTCTGGTAAACCTCTAGTCTCTGTGTATTTTATAATTGTTAAAGTCTGGTCTGATCTAGTCTGTTAAAATCTGGTTTGATATGTTCTGGTCTGCTTAAGTCTGGTCTGGTCTGATTCGGTCTGTGACTGAAAAACAGGCCAAAAGAAAACATCCTAAGTACGTTTTAAACGAGGTAACTTGGGGTTTCAACCTAGATTATACTATCACCCTACTTGAGGGTCTTGTGTTTGAAATACTTGTTATATATGTATTAGTTGTCATCATCACGAGTACTTTGAAGTTAGGGGAAACACTGACCCCTTCGCGGGCATCCCACCACCATTTGCAATCATAATGTGCGAAGGGGTCTTGAGTTAGCATTAATTTTACGTCTTACACTCAAGCAACAACTTCAAACATTCATTCAATACTTAGTTAAGGTCTTTTTTCTATGGTTGATGATTTTGAATGCCTTGCGATGTAAATGGTTCAAACTGACAATTCGATTACACTTTGCAACGGCCACAACCACTAGTTGAAATTGGTGTGATAAGAAAAGGACATACCTTGGAGAGGGATTTTCCTTTGAGATAAGAGCGTCTAATCCATTGCATTCACCTCAGAATATCTGAAGCTCTATCATATCTCTACCCTCTCAATTTAGATAATGAGGATTTATATTTTGCAAATAAATCATTAATATCTTTCTTTGAAGGATGAGGAGAAGTTTCAGTCGATGCACAATAGCATGAAAAAGTTCAATTACATGTCCACGTTCAATCAAATATGTCAAAACAACCCTCATTTGCTCTTTCACTGAAACATCTCTACATTCATCAACCATAAGGGAAAACACATATCCCCTATATTTTCAAAAATAACTCGTGTGACTTCAAAAGAACATGCTATAGTAAATTCTAATGAATTTTAGAGACATCATTTGATTAACCTCTTGATTTTTTTTTTGATATATCATTCTGCTAGTTCTAGAAAACTACCTACATTTGAAAAACTTGACCACAAAAAGATATACATTGCTTCAAAAGAAAATGTATAACACTCAAAGTGGCAATTAAATGGTGCGATAAACCACTTCTATTTAACGATCTTGTTCATATCAAATGTGACACACTTTGTCTTTGATTTGAAATGCTTCAAGATGTATTCTTGCATCATTGTGAGCACTGCTCACACCACCAACATGTGTATTAAATATGTCTAGTTTCTTTAATTACTCATTCTCCAGTTCAGCATCCTCTATTTGAAATTTAAAAATTAAAAAGATAACTCTAAAAACAAAAAAAAAAAGCAGAATCTTTCGAAATGATATAGTCCAACAATGGAAATTTATCAAACCAAGTTGAATGAAAACTTCTATTCTTTACCACACAGTTCCAGGGGGGAAACATTACCAACCAGTCTACAACGATGTCGTGTTAAGCACTATCTTCGAACTTGATCGTTAATGAGAAAACTATACTCAATGATTGGTTTACGCAAACCTGGCCGGGTAACAGAGAACTCCAGAAATTACAAATGCAGACAAAGGAACAGAGGAACTGAGGAACTGAGAAACAGAGCAACCAACAAAGCAACCATGAAAAAGATGAAGCTTGAAGAACAACCGAGGCACCATGGAATGTATATACCTATATATACCTAAAATTTCCTACGAATAGGAGGCGATGGCCTCGGCTCTCCCCCTAATTCTGCCCATGTAGTTTGTAGTTTGTGATCGTGTCTTATTGTCTTGTTTATTCAATTACTGATTTCATTTAGTATTTTAGTTAGTTAATTTCCCGGTTTAAAATTTATTTGAATAATCTTTAACTCATATGGGCTATTGTTTTACTAGTTTAAATCACCTATGTAAATAAAAATGATTATTATTCACAACATATGTGTCATACGTGAATTTTACATTTTATAATTTGTTAGGTTACCTATGCCTATATAATATTACAATATGTAACAGAGGGTGGTGGGTTATCTAGACAAGGTAACGAAGAAAGCAATAGCCAAAAATGTTGTGGCTTTTTATTTGTGGTGTTATGATTTCAAAATATTCAAACAGAGGATGTCAAACTCGAGAAGTAACATTTATTGACATAGAGGTGAGTAAGTGAAAAAAGTTTTAGACATATTCAATACACATGTTGGTGTGGATAGTTCGCAAAATGGTGCAATTTCAAGCATTTCAAACTTAAGGACAAAGTGTGTCGCATATGATAAATGCACAAAGTCGTGAAATAGAAGTAACATATAGCACCGGTTTAACCGCAACTTTGGATATTATACGTCTTCTTTTAAAGCAAGGTTTATCTTTTCGTGGTCATGACAAGTCATCAATTTTTCAAATAAAGGCAATTTTATTGAACTAGTTTAATAGCATACCCAAAGAAATCAAGAAGTTGCTAAAACAGTGAATAAAAATGCTCCCAAAACAATCAAATGGTGTCTCCAAAAGTTCAAAAGGAATTAACAAGTACATGTGCTTTTGAAGTCAAACAAATTATTATTGAAGATATAAGGAATAATGTCTTCACTCTTATGTTTGCTGAATGTAAAGATGTTACGGTGAAAGAGCAACCGAGGGTTGTTTTGAAACTTGTGAATAAACATGGATGTGTAATTGAACGTTTTCTTGTTATTGTGCATGTGACTGACACTTTTGCTCTCTTTAAAGAAAGCTATTGATGAGTTATTTGCGTAAAAACAATTTGAGAAACAGTGCTCTAAATAACAATTTGAGAAACAATGCTCATAAACTATAAGAATGTTTAAGTCTACTTCTTAAAACTATTTCTAGTCCGTATTTGTTTGGTTTAATTTATCATTTCATTTATTTATACTAAATTTTACAATTGCAATATGTTAATTGATCCAAATGGACAAAATATGCTACCATAAACAAAGAGATTTTGTCTTACATTTAATATAATAGCCCGTCATAGAGTACATATCTGTCCTGAGTTTGTAATTCTTTTGGTGAGAAAAGATGGGCTCAACCTGCAATCGTGCCACCATTTTTGAGATCACCGGCCAAAGCAAGTCTAATAGCTAGGATGAAGATATGACGAAGGTCCACCACTTGTAGAAACCAACGCCGTACATGGCCGCGTAAATAGCCGTCCTCACCGGATAAAATCTAAACCTGTGACTGGTTAACCGAACAATTATTTTTGGATCCATATTTTAATACTCCTCTGTCCTACTATCTTCGGTCCCAAATAAACTTACCACTTTCTTTTTTGTACAGGTCCAAAATAAATTTATACGTCTATTCTTGGTAAGTTTATATATAAAGTTATCTTTATTAGCTACTTTACACGAACTTTCTTTCTTCCAATACATTTAATCTACTTTTAAGGGGTATGATGGGAAGCAAAAATTCGACTTTTTAAAACCGTAAAATCAAAGTGCGAAGTATTTTATATGTCCTACTTTCCTTTTTGTGTTGTACCAAAGTATGTGTCACATTTCTCTTTTTGGAAAGAAATACGGAGTACGTGGTTTACAACATTTCACTGTATTATACTCAAATCCATTAAGTCACAAATGAATTTTGGTGCTCTAAAACTATTGTTTCAATTTCATTTACAATGAATTAATTAAAAGTTACATATTAATCATATATTCACAAATGTTTCTGATTTCACTCCGAACTCGTGTAGATTAACCATATATTCACAATGGATATTTTGATGAATTTTTTTGAGCATCTTATTCATTAAGTCTAATTTACTCATAGCAAATTTTAGCTAAAATTTCAATCGCGAAAGCATTCAAATGAATTCTTGAAGGTCACTGCTCTTTTAACTGCGATGTTATCTTCAATAATTCATTTGAATGCATTCCCGATTGAATTGTTAGCTAAAATTTGATATGAGTAAACTAGACTTAATGAGTAAGATATCAAAAAAAATCATCAAAAACTTCCACCGTGAACCACCCCAAATGTCAACGGCCGAGCAGAGCCTCCTATATAAGGGCTTATTTGACCTTTTTGTGTAAGTTGGAGGGCCTATTTGACCCTTTTCCCTATGAATAATTAACTCTACAAACATTGTCAATTGGTTCCATTCAATAATCTCAAACCATATTTGATAATTTTTATATTACTATTCTAACTCATTTAATTTATTCACAGATTCAAGAGAAAAGTACTCCTAAAAAAAGGATGACACCCCATCGCTGAGGGCCACAACCCCGACCGGACAGTACGTTGGGAGGATGTAAATTGGACTATAATCCCAATCTGACAGATAGAGAGTGGGGCTATGTTCCGGTACTCAGGGCCGGCTAGAGCAATTATGAGGCCCTAGACGGACATGTAGAAATTTTGTTTTAAATATGTTTTATTTAACCCAATGATATAAAAAATAGCAATTAAATATAAGTAAATTACATATAAAATACATCATATACTATTAACACAGTGAGAATATTCTTCGAAATCAGAAGATCAAAGTTAGATGAAAAAATACAAAGAGCCCTAGAGGGAGAAGGTTTTGTGCTTACATACAACATACCGATCGATAGAGTCGGAAAGTGATTTCATGACCAAATCATTTCTTAATTTTTTTCTTTGTCTTTGTACATCTTGATTCATATTTTGTTTTCCAATCATCACAAAACATAAAATTTCATTCAAAATAATATTATCACTAAATATAAGTTAATGGTTCATACATATAAATTTAATTCACTAAATTTAAGTATGTTCAATATTTCGATGAATCAAAATAACAAATTACAATTTCAATTATTCAATAAGCATTCAAATATATTTAGAATACTCATTATCCTAAATCCCTAGCCCTACTGCCCTAGCCAACAAATAAAAAAAAAGGAAAAAGGAGCAAATAAGCAGACATACTAACAAAAAAGGTCAAATAAGCCCTTGTATAAGAGACTTTGTCCCGCCGTCGCCATTTGGGGCAGTTCCCGGTGGATTTTTTTGATGAAATGTTTTGAGAATCTTATTCGTCTTGTTTACTTATACCAAATTTCAGCTAACAATTCAACATGGAAGGCATTCAAGTAAATTCTTGAAGATAACTGCGCAGTTATCTTCAAGAATTCATTTGAATGTCTTCCCGATTGAATTTTTAGGTGAAATTTGGTATGAGTAAACCAGACATAATGAATAAGAGTCTAAAAAAAATCATCAAAAAATTACAAAGGAAACTATCTCAAATGTTGACGGCCGGACAAAGTCTCATAAATAATATTAATAAGCTTATTTTATAAATTAGAGGCCCCTAAAATTTGGAGGCACTAGACACTTGTCTAGGGTAACTCCCCCAATGGCCGGCCCTGCCGGTACTTGCAAAAAGTACTCCTAAATATATGGCATGACACAAAGGCGGCAAATTATACCGTACATCCGGGTGTAACTATACACCCGGTATTTTTGTAATAAATTGCAAGTTCAAGCCTTTAATTTACATATCATGCTCTTGTCTTTAGCCTTTTTTGTTTCTTTAGCTGTACAGCCGTACTCACTCCGCATGTCACCTATTACCTTTTTGTTTTCTCTTTGTTCTCTTACCAGGCCTTTTCATTAATTCAATTTTAGGCCTTTGTTTTCATTTATGTAACGTTAGTCTTACCTTACTTGTTTTTTTTTTATTTTCTTTTTGTAATCAACTTTGGTTATAATTTAAATATTTCTTTAAATTGTGAATTATAAAATAAGTTATCTATGTTTTCTATTTCAAATTTCAAGATTAATATTTATTAATTTAATATATTTTTGTGTTAATTGTTGTAAAATTGTGTGATAACTATTAACATGAATTACGTGTTATACTAAAATGAGAAAAGCGTTTCCTTCCGGAAAAAAATAAGAACAATGTTTAAAATAAAAATGTACAGTAATGTGCATGAGTATACTAAAAAGAATATGATCAGTTTTCTAATTGAAGAACGGTTAATTATAAATTATTTTGAAAATAAAATTTATTATATTTCTCATTTTTATATACCGGAGTATAATAATAGTTTAGTCAATTATTAATAATAAATCTATTATATGTGCATATTAAAGAAATAAGTTTTATGTTAAACTCAAACGGATATAACGATTAAAAGAAATGAACATGCACAAATGAGTTTTTGAATTTTTGAAAACTCATTTTGTAAGTTATGTATGTCCATTTAGTATCTCTGTTATGCTCATTTTAAAATCTTATATTAATGCATATTTTAAAAGTCTCATATTACATTATATTTACATAGAAGTTGATTATAGACATGAGACCACAAATCATGATACTCAATCCAACGATTCTAATACTCAATAACGAAGGTTTGATGCTCATTGAAAATATCTTGATGTTTAACGAACAAAACTTACACTTCTCATATCAATGCTCATCTTGTAAGTTACACATGCTCATTTGTATAAGCGGGTGTTTGGAACTGATTGTGCTTTTGCTTCTTTTTTAAAGCAGAAGCAGAATAAGAATCACTTTTCAGAAGCTGGTCACCCCAGCTTCTAAAAAAACTGATTCTAGGAGTAAATTAGAGCGCCAGAATCACTTCTGCACTTTCACCCAAACACTTTAACTTCTGTTTCTGCTCCCTGAAAGAGCAGAAGCAGCTTTAAAAATCAGATCCAAACACCCTCTTAAGTGTGATGCTCATTAAAAATTCATTAATGCTCATTTAACAAAAATCATGATTTTCATCAATCTCAATAGAGAAGGTTTGATACTCAATGAAAATTTCATAGGAGTTGATTATAAATATAATTTGATAAGTTTTTATAAAAGGAAAAATAACAAAGAGAAAGTGAATTAGAAGTTATGAAGCAGCAATTATGATTCTGAATATTAGACTCCAAATATTCAACATAATAGGTATGATGGTCATTAAAAGGTCATTAATGCTCATTCACTAGAAAGTAGAAACCGTGATTTTCATCTCAATAGCGGATGTTTGATGCTCAATTAAAATGTCGTGACGTTCAATCAACAAACCTTACGTTTTTCATATCAATGCACGTGCACTTTGTAGGTTATGTATGTTCATTTGGTACTGATGTTATGCTCATTTCTAAAATGTCATATCAATGCATATTTCAAAAGTATCACATTACATTAGACTCGCATATTGAAATTAATGAGTTGATTATATATATAATTTAATAAGTTTTTATAAAAGAAAAAATACGAAAAAGAGAAAAAAAATTAGAAGATATGAAGCAGAGATCGTGATACTCATTGTTGGGCTCATAATACTCAATGCAATAGGTCATATGCGCACTAAAAGTACAATATTGCTCATTTAGCGGTAGCCGTGATTTTTCACTAAAATTACAAAAATGCCACCAAAAAAATTAGGTTGTTTTAATTAAATGGACTGTGTTTCTTAACTCGACCTTTTTTGTGGGCCTTATTAAGTTCTTTTTCTTACTCTTTTATACTTATAATGAGCATTATATCAATATCAAATGAGTATACATACTTACGAAATGAGTACCAAAAAATTCAGAAAGATCATTTAAAATCTCTAGTATGCTCAAATATTAAATGTGAATACATAACGTGTGAAATGAGTATCAAAAAATTCAAAATTAACATTACACCAATATGCATGGATATGACATTTAAATTGTCTAGAGTAATGCTCATTTCAAAATTAGCATTACACCAATATCAAATGAGCATAAATAATTTATGAAATCAGCATTGAATATTTAAAAAGCTCATTTAAAAACCCAAGTATGCTTAAATATCAATTTGTGTATGCAGTAAGCTCATACCAGTAGATTATAAAAAAGAATTGATTCCTTATATTAGACCAACCAATTTTATTAAGTAGGAGTTCAAAATTAGAGGAACAAGAAGACATAAAGTTTATATAAAAAGAAAAATGCAAAAAGGAAGCAAAAAAAGAAAAAAAAAGTTGAAGTTAGAAAAATTAAAGTTCAAAATCAAAATAAAAGGAAAAAGAAAAAATCAAAATAAAAAAGACAAAAGAAAAAAAGAGAAGAAAAATCGGAAGAACGCAAAAAAAAAAGAATGAACAAAAGAAAAGAAAGAATGGAGAACGTAGGAAGTAAGATGAACATGAGTGCCTGGCGGAAAAAGAAAGCAATTCAGCACCTCTACTTATTAATTATCTTCAAAATTACTATTAATTGCAAAAAAATCGGGTGTATATTATGACATAGGAGCTCCACAAAGACCGAATGAAATTGATAAACATAATGAAAGGAGAAATTAAAAGAACTTCGGTCACTAAAAATTGCAGATTCGAAAATGATTCAGAAACGATGATGAAGGAAGGCTTATTACCTGGAGGGAGGAGAGTGTTTGCTCGGGGATTGGTTGGGGGAGATAAGGGTGAGTGGGGTGAACCACTGGGAGACGAGGCGGTCAAAGAAGTCCCAATCCGGCAACATCACGGCGCAGACGGCGAACATCCCAAAGAGGTAAGTGGCGGCCATTTTCTTGAAGGAGTAGTGGGTGTATATCCCCGTCAATACCACGGCGGCCCCTACCCAGCAAACCGATGCCCGGAGCACGGCGTCGTCCTTCATTTCGCACCGATTGATGTCAGAGCTGTTAAGCGGGCAGCTGCTCAGTTGGTGGGTGTGCCTTTATTGTGACACCTCTGTAGTTATTAAAAAGTCTTGACTCTTGAACAATCGAGGAAATTACCAAAATACGGGGTTTTCCCGTAATCCAAATTGCGGGACTTGCAATTAGGTTACCAAATTACGGGAGTCGGATTTGGCAAATCCGACTAGGGAGGCCTTCCAAATTAAAGAGTACCTAGTCGGAATTGTGGAATCCGACTAGGGGGTTTGACAAAAAAAAAACTGTCGGATAGCCCACATCCGACTAGGGATGTTGTTTAAAAATTTTATATTTGAAAATACATATATTTTGTTTTATTTTAAGAAATTTTATAAATTAAATTTTATAAATTAAATTTTATAAATTAAATTTTATAAATTAAATTTTTATTTTAAGAAATTTTATATTCGAGATAAATTTGGTTTTATGTAAACCATAACGTTAGAAGTATTTATTAGGAGGAGGAGTAGTAGGAGTAGTGGTAGGAGTAATAGTAGTAGTAGTAGTAGTAGTAGTCGTAGCATCAGTAGTAGGAGGAGTAGTAGGAGGAGGAGTAGTAATAGGAGTAGGAGGAGGAGGATAAAAAATCACCTAAATCAAATATGCAAATAAAATTTAATCACCTAAATCTAACTTCCACATACCAATTCAATTCATTTTTTATGGCTTAAGATTTTGATCAGATAAATATAATCAAATAAAATTTAATCAGAAAAAATATAATCAGATAAAATTTTATTAGATAAAAAATATAATCAAATAAAATTTAACACTTGTGATTCACATTTTTTAGACCCGGATCATAAAAACCCCAATTCGACCTGGTAAGGATACAATCTTCTGAAATGCAATTAGCATATATCATGAACATGAATTGTGAAATTGACCACGATTTACTTAATATATAGATGAAATTTTAATATTCACACTTGTGATTCACATTTTTTAGCCTCGGATCATAAAAACCCCTATTCGACCCAGTAGGGATACAATCATTTGAAATGTAATCAGCCTATATCATGAACACGAGTTTTAAAATTGACATTGATTTACTTAACATATAGATGGAATTTTAAAATTATTAATTTAACATTTTCGATTAATTAAACTCAAATTTAACTCAAATTATTAATTATTAATTATTAATTTCTAATTTCCCCTTGTCGGATTTACCAATTCCGACAGGAATTTATTATTATTATTATTTATTGATTTTTTTTCGTTGTAATTCATTCACAATATATAAAACTTCTAAAAAAAATCCTCTCGTCGGAATTGGGACTTCCGACAGGAGTAAAACCAAGTTTTTATTTTGTTTAAAAATCCCTATATCGGATTTAAGTTGGGATTTAGTATTTCCGGATTAATATCAAAAAATAATATTAAGCAATCAAAAAATTTTAAAAATCAAAATTCATAATTTTCATTTTAAAAAATATGCCAAGAATTTAAAACAACTTTTAATTCGGAATTTAGAATAAGGAATTAACAATACTTTTAAAAAAACTATTAAAATCAAAGCTTTAACAATAAGGAATTAACAAGGAGTTAACAAAAAACAAAAAAAAAATCCTGGTCGGAAGTCACACATCCGACTGGAGGGAGAGGTGTTTTTTTTTAAACCCTTCCTCTGGTCGGAACACCCAATTCCGACTCCCGCTTTTTGGGAAAACCTAGTTTTTTCCCCGTTTTTTGACAATAGATGTTGATGAATCCCGTATTTTGGTAAAACACCCTGAACAAGTCACTCCTTCAATATCAAACCGTGCTTCGGGCTTACGATCTCGTTTGCTAACCTGCACGGGTAGCTCAATTATTTCTTGTGGAAAATTTGGAACAATGATCGAGATTCAAAATCCGTAGCAGTCGTGTGGATGTTACAACTTCTACGTGCTGGGCTGTACCTCTGGTTTGCAGTGGCGGAACTAGGGGGCGAGCCGGTGACGGCGCTCCCTCTTCTCCGGCGGTGGTTCTGTGTGTATATATCTCAGCCCCGATTCAGAAAGTATTCATATATTAAAGTGGAGTCGCTAGTTGAATGTATGAGTTTTGATAGTTCAAATGGTAGGGTGAAGAATAATTCTCCGGCGCTCCCTCTTCTCCGGCGGTGGTTCTTTTATTTTAAATTCTCATTTCTTCAATTCAAATTAATTATAATCATTTCTTCTAATAATAATAACATATACGGACGTTGTCATTTAATGTCAAGAATAATTCTAAAACTACTCTAAGTTAGTATAAGTATTTACCTTTTGTTTAGTATAATAGCATTTTTATTTGAAACACACTACATATACATATATATAAGTTTCAGATCAAATAAAAAGAGTTCTTATCATGAAAATTGATCGAGAATAAATCTTGTGCATTTAACTTGAGATTCGATGAGTCAAAATCAGTCAACAATGCACTATATTTTATCAAAAACTCGGTGTCAATTTGATAAATAAATCAAAAATTTCTCTCATTGTGAAAAAGTGTAAAATAAATATCTACTAGTGTACCAAAACGAGTAAAAAATGAGCCCGTTCTCATTTTTCACGGGAATAACTCTTTTTATTAGAACCTCACTCTATATGTATCTAATACGGAGTAATTATTTTTCACTCGTTCTTATTTTATCCTAATAAAAAATTGTTTTTCAAAAAAAAATATAAGAGCACCCCCTCAAATTATTGTCTGGTTCCACCGCTGCTGGTTTGAACGGATATAAGGCCTACCATCATTGGACCGACTGGGTCACCGTGACTTAAATCCTCCCAAATATCATGTCGGGTCGGGTGTGGGGGCTCTTGGGTGGGAGATTCCACCTTTTGGAACAAGGAAGGAGCCCGTTTGCTAACCCTGTTTTTGATTTATCAGGTTTATCAATCAATTTTTTTATTAAACTTTTAACCTTTGATTTCAAGCGTGTTGAGTTTAGTTCAACATAAACCAATAGATATAGATATAATTTAGTATAACACTCAATTTTTACGTGGAAACCCGAAAGGGAGAAAACACAGAACTTTTTAGGCTAACGTCAAAGCCCACTCTTTCTCATTAATACCCTCCTCACCAAAATACAATTCTTGGGCTCCATTAATGGAGGTTTGAACAACTAATCTAAACAAATTAAGTTGAGGGATGCAGGGAAGTTCCCTGGGAGAGAAGAACCAGCCCCCTCAAGATGGAAGCCAAGCTTCCTATTTATAGAGGGGGGGCTTTCTAGCCTAATGGGCCTAATGGGCCGGGTAGGCCAAGATGGGCCGGGTAGGCCTAATGGGCCGGTTGAGCCGAGACGGGCCGGTTGAGCCTAAATGGGCCTCACCGACTGGGATCCATACCGGAGTGATGCCTTGGGCCTCTATTGTGTAATAATAAAAAAAGTACGGTTGAAATTACTTTTCTGGCTGTATTGGCTTAAATTAATGTAGATGATCGTTTTAGCTATTTTCATATAGTTTTTTATTTATTTTATTAATAAAATATATTTTGAATATAATTTTTCCATAAATCAGCATAATCAGCCAATCAACCAGCGCATCATAAATTTCAGTAGAATCATGATTTAAACGTTTTTGGTAATATCAAACGGGCTCTACGTTAACTTTTGTTTAAAACAATTTCCTATTACAGTTAATCGTGCAACACATAAAGTTTATATTCTAATTTCTTGTTTATACATATCTTGTTGAGCTATTCTTAGACATTGACAAATGCATGTTTTTAAACAAGAACATTTATTTATTAATTATAATGGAAGTGACAAGAGACAAAGCAAATCAATAGCTCAGAGTTATTCTGAGATGAGACTTAAAATTGACCAGCATTTGAGTACCCGACAAGTTCGTTAACCCCAAATCATGGTAGTCTAATCTAACAGCATCGTTGTACTTGTTACTAAAATAAATCGTCAAAAAACTAGAGCTATTGAGCTCGAAAGAACAAATAGAATCGTAACTCCTGGTTTTTTCGGTCACCAACAAGGGAGAAGGGGTTTGATCAACCACCTCCAAAAATGTCATTCCGATTTTACCAGCCATCGGGAAGAGAGAAGAGGTGGGTCCAGCCACCTCTAAAGGAATCAACTCGGCTGTCAATATTTGAGGCGATGATGTTTGAGGAGCACCACTGCCTTATTGTTTATTGACTTCTCCGTGGCACCTCACTCAAACACCAATCACTGCTCTCTTCATCCTCATTTGACATTCTTACATAAGCCCGATCTAAGCTCTCCATTAGTAGCAGCAAAATGACCATCGGATCCGAGACAGAGAAAATTTTGAAACACATGATCACAAGAAATTCTGAAACACACGTTCACAAATGGAACGGATTAAACCCTTGGGCAGAAAAAATTCAGCAGGAGAGCACAACACAGAAAAAACTAACAATGAAAAAGAACTGAGCACACACACTTATATTGCGTATCAAGCCACGAAACCAGTCCAATCTTCTGTCGCTGGATATGTCGGAAGGAGGTGGGCAGGGAGACTGCCGCACTACTACGCATATAGTCTTTGATGTTATAATTGCAGTAAAATGCTATGCTAACAAACACATATCTAATTCTTAGAAAGTAAACTCGAGTTGCTCGAAGAAATCTTCATATCATCTATACACTTTAACACAAAATTCTGTCCTCAACTAGTTAATTAAGCACGCCCATTATTTCCTAGTTTCGATACTTAAGGTTCTTCATCAAGAAGTTAAACTACTTTAGACAATACAATGTTCCCAGTAGTGACTTCAACCAAGAACTTCTATATATGAGGGATTAGCGTACGTAGGTGTTAAGTGCAATTTATTTGATCCATTTTCACTAATTAGGGACTAATTAGAAAAGTCAATTTATTTAAATATGTTGGTCTTAACTGAACTCTGAAACCTTATTAGTTGAACAAGTTGGGCTACTTATATGTGTCCATATTTGTGTTTATATATTTATATTTATATCTTTTTGTATTATTTCTTTTAATGTTTATATTTATATTTGTTGGGGAATATTATCTCGGCCCATTACTGTTCAGAAGCTCAAGGCTTCACCTGATATGGAAC